ATGTTAATGCAAATTGAGAGATGAACTTAAATATGAGAAACCATTTGATGAATTTCTAATATATACTTTTTAGCATTTTCTCCCGTAGTTTTTTTCAAAGTTTCCTTTCTTTTCTTTAATAATTGTTCATATGCCTCTTTCTGTTCATCAGTCATCAAGTTAACTGTAATGTTTATAGATTTAAATGAGCATAACAGTAATTGGAGCTTTGATTCGGATAATTTATTAAAAATTACGTACTGTGCAAAGAACGCAGATTCCTTTCGGCAATTGTTTTACGAATTTCGATCAAATAACGAGGTTGCGTCATTCGAACGATGACTTCTTCCTACAAATTTGTAAACCTCATTAAAACTCATTTAATTGTTGCTTTTATTTCAAAAATAAAGATTTGACATTAGACCTCATCATTCTCACAATCACGTAGCGCTTCGGAAATTTCTTCGTCAGATACAAATTCAAATACTCCACGTATTTTTAGCGATTTACGTTCACGTTCACGTCGCTCAAACTCGGCATACTGAAAACATGAAATTGTCAAACTAAACTCATAAAACCGCAAAAAAATAAAGTACTTAATACAGTAGTTACCTGACGTTGTTGTAATGCGACTCGTTTATCAATGATTCCTTGTTCTGTTTCAGTAACATCTTGAGCGAAAAGACTCGTTTTCCGAATAGTTTCGATTTCTTCACTAAAGTTGAATTATAATATTAGTTATTTTAATTGCGAGGGCGTATTCACAATTTACCATCAGTGTTAAATTCAGTACCTTTGATGCAATAACGGCGGATTGGCATACTGATTTTCCTCCGTTTGATCTTTACTATCTTTGCTTTGCATGTTGGCCCTGAGGATTTGCTGTTAAATGATCTTAGAATCTTGTTAATGAATCAAAAATTACTTACAGAACAATAACAGTAGCAAAAAAAAAAAATCTACCGTAATTTCGGAAACAACGATGGAAGGTGGGGGTGACGCTAACATCCAATTTACGTATGTTGGGTTTGCTATCGGGTTGAGGCAGTCTTGAAATAAAGTAAAAACTAGTCAAAAATTCCCAAAGTTCCTTTTTGTACGTTAAAGTATTAAAGCTTTACCTTCCTGAAAAAATTGCGTGCGTTGCTTTTCTTCTCTGCAAACCGTGGAAGAACTTCTTGTAGACGTGTGTCCACGCGCCATTGGACTTGTATTTCTTTAAATAAGCTTTACAACATGCAAATTATTTATAAAAACTTTTAATCTTAAATTGCTACGAGACTGTATTTATTCCAACTTCACTTAAAGAAGGTTTTTGTGTGTAGTCGCGTAAAAGCGCGTTTACAAAGTGTTTGAATCACATGATTAGAGCATGGAGGACATTCGTATCCGATGATTTCCGAGATCGACGTTACACAAGTATTTATACAGAATAAGTACAGAAGTAAACTTTTTACTAATAAAATAGCTTCGTAGGGAACGTCTTTTCAAGAAACTTAAGTTGCATCACGCTGGAGAAGGTCGTTCTGCTAAAGGTTGAAGTACCATCAACTCTATAGTAAGAGGTAATAAAAGTATATTGTACTGCTCAATTCACAAAGTTCGACGTTGTTTTTGCTGGTTTTTTTTTTGTTATTTAAAATTATTAACTTGTTAACTTTTATTTTCAAACTTCCGCAGGCTTATTTTAAAGTTATGACATTTCTTAAAAGATATTTAACACAACAGGATTATTTAATATATATGCAATAACGATAATATAATTTTATTAATTACGTAAGATTTTAAGGAAAATTATTGAAGGACGTGTAACTGGTTACTAAAATCCTTATAAAATAGAATGTTTACAATTGTAAAATTGCTATTAGAGTGTGAGTGAATAGTCAGGTTCTTTTACAACGCGAGTTATTTTACTTTGTAATTAAAACGAAAGAAATTATAATATATAATAATGCCCATTGATTGGCTGTTTAGTTCAACGACTATCTATCTGTTTGATCATGTGTTGGTGAAGCCGATTTATGATTGGTCAAAACTCTTATGACAAAGCCCGTGCTTTTCCGAAAAATACGGAGAAACTCGCACCCGATAAATTCCGAACGTGTTGTATTTATATAGGCAATTGAAAATCTGATATGAATTTACGGGTAATTTACCGAATAGCTTAAAAAAAATTTGAAAATTATAGTAATTTAACAACTCTGTCTGTAATAAGTTAAACTTAAGGTACCCATGTTGATTAGTGCTTTTCCTACGGAATTAAGGTAAACGTTTGGTAATTGGCAGAGTTTATTGAGTTTCTACTACGTTTAAATTATTAAGCCGATTCTTGGATTTTTAAAACTGTAAAATGTTTAAATGTGTGAAATATAAGATTTTACACAGGGACACTTGAACAATCATGAACTCATTTATATCACATTTTATATAAACAAGTAGTATAGTCATGGCGCAAAAATTTGTTGGTGATGTAATATCCGAGCTGATTGGACCAAAACTTAAGCTCGAAAAAATACTTAATATAACTGATTTAGTTATATTAACCCATTCTAGGTATTTTCTGACCTTAAGTTTTGGTCTGATCAGCTCGGATATTACATCACTGACAAATTTTTGTGCTATGACTAGGGTTCCGCATTTGATTTGATTTGATTTGATTTAAATATTTGATTTCAAATCAAATTCAAATATAGATTTTCAAA